AAGGGCTGGGGAGGGGAGGTGCAGCGAGGAAGGCAGAGGCCGCGGGTTTTCTGCAGTGTGGAATCTGTCAGGCCGCATTCTGTCTCTCTCAGCGACCGAGCAGAGCGCCCGGGGGCCGGCTGTGTCCCCAGCGCGGCCAGGAGGCCTAGCGCGCACAGGGCCATTCAGTAGGAGCGGTTCTCCCACAGCCAAGGAGGTTATTCCGAAGCCGTTTTGATTCTGCCTGTGCGTTTTTGCATTCCCGGACCCTCTATCGTAGTTCCAGCTCTCTCCACTCTTCAAAGCCGAAACCTTGTCTACACCTGCTGTGTTCATTGCCTCACTTCCCATTCATTCTTAAAGCCGCTTTCCTGGGTCTTCTGTGTCACTCACCCACGGAAACTGCTGAAGCCAAGGTCACCGGAGACCTCCATGTGGCCATCCCCAATGGGCTCTCTCCTTCACCTTTTCATAGTATTCATTCAGTGACCCTGTCAACTCGCCCTCCAGCATTTTCCTGGTTTCTCTCCTGGCATTGTTGGCTCCTTCTCCATCTCATTTGCTGCCTCTTTCCTCTTCTTTTAGATGTTGGCAAGGCTCTTCGTTCTGCCCTGAGCTATCTTCTCTCATTCTGCACTTTCTCCTTGGGTATTTCATTCATTCCCCAGGCTTCACACACACACATGCTGATGATCCCCACATGTATATATCTGGCCTAGACCTCTTTCCTGAACTGCAGATTCAATATCCAACTGCCCTCACGATCTCCGCTTGGAAGTCCAACAGGAATTCCAAACCTATAGATCCAGGCTGAATTAATTATCTTCCCTGTGTACCCTCTCTACCCTTCTTCCAAGTCTGTTGTTCCTTTAACGCTCTGCAATGGCTACTTTCTAATCAGTTAGTTACCCAGGCCAGAATCCTGGGCAACAGTCTAGGTTACCCTCTACTTCCTCACCCTCTACATCTAATGTCACCAAGTTCTGTCACATCCACCACCTAAATATTTTTCAAATCCATTCATTTCTCTCCATCCCACTGCTACCAAACTTAATCTAGATTACAACCCCTTTTTTCCCTTGGCTGGCTACTCTAATAGCATACCTCTCCTCCTTACCCCCCCCCTTAAAAAAAAAAAAAAAAAAAAAAAAGCATCCATCTGGTCATTTATTCACTCAACAAATGCTTTTTGAGCACCTAATATATACCAGGAATTGTATTGGGCACTGAAGATGTAACTATGAGCAGAATACACCGGGTCCCTGTCCCATGGAGCTGACAATCTACAGGAAGGGGGAATCAGAAAAGAATAAAATTACAGATTTAATAGATATCACGAGGGAAAGGTAGATGGTGCCTTGGGAACACACAAGAGCACAAGCTAAACTGATCTCGGTAGGAAGAAAGGGTCAAGGAAGACTTCTCTGAGAACATGACATTTGAACTGAGACGTAAAGGATGAGTAAGAGTTAGGCTGAGAGGATAGGGGAAGGAGGTTCTAAGCAGAAGTGAGATCACATGCAAACACCTTGTGGAAAGAGACAACATGATGTTTTTGAGGAATCAAAGAAGGCCAGTGAGCCAAAGCTGGAGAGGAAGGCAGGGGCCAGACTGAGCCAGGACCTTTGAGACCATGTTATAAATTTTGGTCTAAAGGTCTTTGTTCTTGATGCAGAATGTTGATGGCAGTGGATGTGGACAGTAGATGAAATCTAGAAATATTTTCAGAGAGAAAATTGTCAGTACCTAGGGATGGATTGAATATGGGGAGTGAGGGAGAAGGTAGTGTCAAGGATGGTTGACACTCCCTACTCAGGATGGTTGATCATATCATTCCATGAGCCAGTTAGGGGGTGGGCAAGAGAAACATGAGCGGGCATGTTAGTTTGAGAAGCCTTTGAGACATCCAAGTGGAGATGCTGAGTAGAAAGAAATGTTTATGTCTGGAGCTCAGATGAGGGATCTGATGGAGGGGTAAATTTGGAAACCATTGGTATATAGGTGGTAACTGAGGCTATGGGCATGAAGGAATACCTATATTGAATGGTAGATGAGAAAGACAAAAGGGCATAAGAACAGCATGGGAAATTCCAGCTGGTAGAGGAAAATGAGCCAGCAAAGGGGTCTAAGAAGCCACCAGATAGAAACTAGAGTGTAGGAAGGACACCAGGAGATGTAGCATGTAGAAGCCATGGATGAAAGTTGGATGAGAGGCCCATGGTGTCAAATGTGCAGAGTGTACAACCCAGATGAGGACTGTGAGTGTCTGTTGGATCAGTGACCTAGGGGCCATGTTGACCTTGGTAAGAGCTGC